TGGGACGCGGATTCGAACCCGCGACCTCAGATTGTGAGTCGAGCGCCTTATCCACCTGGCCATGTGAACTGTTGGAAAAGGTTCAGAGAAAGGCTACTAGGAGGGTACCTAAGATAGAAAGGGTTGGTTAAAAATTCTGAACCTGTTTTCTCTTAAATGAAGAGTTAGAGGGGATCTGATTATGGGCGTTTAAGATTGTTAAGAGAATTGCTAGTGTTGATGCATAATCTATATATATATAATGATGAAAATGGCAAGATTAAGGTAGAAGTCATCTTCAGCTAAGACAGATTTATTTTTCTAATAAGGTGGTTGGCCTTTGGAACGGGTTTTTCTTCGGATGTGGTGAATGCAGTTATTTTCAGGGAGTTTAAGGAACGCTTGATAAATACTTGGATGACAAGGACTGGCTTTGAGTTTTTAGTATTTAGTTTAATTTGGTGGATAGGACGGCTTAGATGAACCAAAATGTTGCTTGTTGTTCTATGATGTTATGTTATACACTATTTGAATTTTGGAAACTTCAGTTTTATGATTACCATAAAGGCCATATATAACAAACACTATTAAAAGCGGTAACTGATTATTATTTTCCATATCAGATATAAATTAAATAATGTCGTTTATATTCTTCAGATACTGTTTAATCAGTTTTAAAGTATTCGGAAAAACAGTAAAAGTTTCGTTCACGTATATTGTAAAAAAAAAAAAAAAAATACCATTTTAATGGGAGAATTTAAAAACGTTTTCTTTTTAAAGCTGTCCGTATAGATATAACATAATAATTGGGACAAACGAGAACTTACACTTAAACCCCTGATTTTGTTTAAAAAATTATTTTCCTAAACAAAATATTTAGATTAATAGTTTCGTTTTAAGTCAACTTCCTGATTACAAGTATTATTCTATTACAAGGAACCGCGATTTTATCTTTTAAACTATTTCAATTTAAAACAAAGTCAGAGGAATTGTTGCATGTAACTTCAGTATACTAAACGTGATAATTTCTGAGCTAAATATTTACCAAGATTATAACTTTTACAAGTCAAACTACCAATACTGGCGTCAATCGATCGAAATGATGTTTTGTTTGTATGTTTTTAATTATGCACAAAGCTACACAAGGACTATCTGTGCTCTGCCCACCACGGGTATCGAAACCCAGTTTCTAGGGTTGTAAATCCGCAGACATACCGCTGTGCCACTGGGAAGCGATCGAATTGATAGACCAGATTTATGAAACTTGATTTGACTTAACTTAAGTCCTGTTATTCCTTGGGGAGCATAGGTCACTCAAAAATCTTCTCCATCGAAATCGGTTTGGGGGTTAGTCTCTCCAGCTCTTTCCAGGTATATTACTTAGTTAACGCATAAAAACCAGGTGGAGTAATATTCGAAAGAATTAAGTTTGTCTTTTCAGACATAAATATATTATGTTTATGGATGTTTTGAATTATTTAAAGTGCCTCAGGGGGCCAACGGTAAGTTCGTGGACTTCCAACCCTAAAATCCGGGGTTCGATACTCTAGTGGTGGAAAATTGTGTATCTTTGCGCAAAACTAGATAAACAACTTATCTAAAATTTCTGTACTTCGATTCCGATAAGATTACCCCCTTTCGATTTTGTTCTTTGCTCAAAATCACAGCTAGGCTAACTTTCTCAGTTTTAGTAATAATCGTATTCTGAGTTTTTAGAGAAATCACAGTTAAATATTGTCATTCAGAAACATTTAAATTTACCAATTTTACTTTTTTTTATCATAAACGCTTTTACAATTTTAGCTCATACTTGATCTTGTTCTACCATTTTCAATAGTTAGGGTTAAGTTTCCTTAAAAGTTTGTCCACGAGATTGCCTCTTTTTTATGTTTTATATTACTTTTTCATGATGTAGCTTTTTGTGTGAATATAATATTATTTTTAAACTCTATTAATTGAAAATATATTGCCCTTGTGATAACATATTCATTTCAAAATTAGGGAGGAATAAAGCTAACGTCAAATATATAAAACATGAATGTTTCTTGTTAAAACAACTATGTTTTGGAACTTTTGAAATAACGCCCTCTGATTTAAAAGTATAACAAATATTTCCTTCCCAAAAGAGGGAATACCCAGTGAACGCTAAACCTCGTGCGCCACACTTTGAATACAATATAAATTAAAAATTATATATATAGTTTAATAGATAAATACAGAACGAGCGAACTAAATTTTAATGCATGAATATTATTGTTAATTTACATCTCCCATAAAATAATAGAGGGAGTTTTATATGTTAGAATTTCCTATAATGGCCGATAGATAGCGTAATTATCACCCATCGTTAAACGTTTCTCCAGATACATGATTTCTTGCGCGGTAATTGAATTGGAATCAGATTTTGAATTTATATAATATATATGTTGCAAATAGCAAAAGACATACTAATTATCGAATAATTCATGAAATTTTACAGACCATGCCAGCTAGTTTATTGGAGTATTTTTCTGAAGCTAACGGAGATGGTTTGAACGTGTCGTGGGCTAATGCCGTTAACAGCAAAGGAAGACTAGGAGCTGCTCTGAGATGTAAGTATTTATAAAAATAACTTTTATAACTTAAAAGAAGGGTTAATTCTAAAATCTTTCTTTATAACAAAATTACAAATAGCTAAACATCTGATACTATATGTTTAACTATCTATCTAGTAAACAAGTGGGACCTAGAACTCGTAACCGAATAATAACACTAGTAAACAAGTGGGACCTAGAACTCGTAACCGAATGATAATACTAGTAAACAAGCGGGACCTAGAACTCGCAACAGAATGATAATACTAGTAAACAAGTGGGACCTAGAACTCGTAACCGAATAATAACACTAGTAAACAAGTGGGACCTAGAACGCGCAACGGAATGATAAGACTAGTAAACAAGTGGGACCTAGAACTCGCAACAGAATGATAACACTAGTAAACAAGTGGGACCTAGAACTCGTAACCGAATAATAACACTAGTAAACAAGTGGGACCTAGAACTCGCAACAGAATTATAATACTAGTAAACAAGTGGGACCTAGAACGCGCAACGGAATGATAAGACTAGTAAACAAGTGGGATCTGGAACTCGCAACAGAAGGATAAAACTAGTAAACACACTGGATTTAGAACTCGCAACATAATGATAATACTAGTAAACAAATGGAACCTAGAACTTGCAACTAGAACCTACAACAGGTTTTGGTAACTATGACAATTTTTACAGAGGGGGCGGGGCGTCCTATGCACAAAACTAAAGGGTGAGTCACATTTCTGTGTAAAGAAATGGAGGGGATTTCACTCTTCTGTGCAGGTAATTTTCGAAATTCCTTTGTCCCACCTACCCATCCCTAAATAGGAAAATTTGCTTTTTAAAGAAAGGAAAAGTTGCCTTTTATGAAAGTTACTAGACAGTTTACAAATATGTGATAAACTGTTAAACTAATAGAAATCTATTCGTCGAATTTTGCGACTCACTCTTCCAATCACTGTTGTAAAGTCAAATTTGAATGTTTTTTATATATTCTCATTTAAGACACTCGTAATTTAAACATAAGTATCTTATACTTTTATCTTTAAGTGTCACTATCATTGCATCAATTTTTAATAAACAAATGCTGTTTTATATTTTCTCATACTATTAAATTACGAGTTAGTACTAATATTAGAGATGTTGGGATTTTCATAAATGTTCTAAACTAATGTCTAGTTTTACTTGCTTAGAACCAATCATATCTTGATAATTCGCATGTAACAGATTTGCCGCACCCTAAGTGGCGGGCAGTGTGAGTAATTGCTTAGTAAAATGGAATTGTCGAAAAATGGCACTATGTCATTCACTAAAAACAATACAAATATGTCATACAAAGAAGATGGAACGGTTCATGGCGTTCATTTTGTAAAACTGCTGCCATGGCCATCATGACAAAAATTTATGATGGTCCTATAGCCAAATACCTTTATTAGAGTCTAACCTAAATGTGTGCCAAATTTCATGTTTTTATTAGTATATGCCCAATTCTTACACACATCTGCTGATCTAAGACATAGAATGTCTTGACCAAGACGTTTGCATACTGTTTTATATTAATGTGATTGTCTACATGCACGGACTGCAAAGAAAGTCTGCTTTGTTTGACGATAACAGAGGTTTCCTACTTGCGTAGCACGTATCTCAAGCTTCTGCCATTGTGAGTAAAATATTTCGAGAGAAGTGAAAAGTCCACATCAGTTTCTCATCAGGAACACCAATCCTTTCATTTCTTAATTATTTATTTCAGTGTTTTAAATATAACATAACACCTACTTGGTTTCCATTTGCATTGTGATTCCTGGAGAAAGGGTAGAAAGCACCGAGCTGCATCCAACGTTTACAAAGTTCTGTCGTGGTCTCCGAGAAAAACCCGTAGATATCAGCCCCAATCTGGAAACAGAATATTAAACTTAATGTGACGTACAGTAAGAATTACTATTATACGTGGAGTGTTCAGAAAAGAACGGAGTTTTATATTTCCTGTAGTTCAACCAAACAACAAATGTACAACAATGGTTCTGAGGATGTTGGAATCAAACATCACATGTCTACTTTAAATACAATAGACTTCATCCGTCGCTCTGTGGGCCTCATCAGTGTAGTATAAAGGCAAGTTCTGTATTACTTCCAGCAGCTTTGAGAATATCAGTTGTCTGGAAGTGTTGCCCACCACATCTTCCTTGAAAGGATCAGAGAGATAAAAGTTACAAGATGCTAGCATATAGAACTACAGTCTAGCCCAAAATGTTTGCATAGTGTTCTATATTGATGTTATTGTCTACATGCATGGCGTAGTTATTGAGTAAATGCCCGAGTAGTAACAGAGGAGGTAGCGTATGATCGGACAAACATGTACGAGTTGTTATTCTGTCTGTATAAGTTGTTTTGAGCATTTGTTCGTCAAAACACACATATACACATGTTATATATAAAAGGGTGTTCTTTTGGTATAAGCTTTTTCGCAATAGATCAACGCTTTGTTTGGACAATTTCTTGTATTTGGTGTAGAGTCATGCCTCGTCACGTGCCAGAAGTTATAGGACGTCAAATTGTTCGACTACCCAGAAACGGTATGAATCAAATGGACATTGCCAAAACGGTAGGGTATCTCCAGTGTACTATATCCAGAATCTTGAAACGTAATCAGACTACAGGAAACGTTGTTCTAGGAAAGTCTATTGGTAGACGCCAAAACACTACTGTGTGAGTTGACTGCGTTTTGATTAGGATAACACATCATGGTCGAAAGAAGTATTGCAACATTACGACAGGAATGGCATGAGACATTCATTCCAAGGTATTCAAAAGAATAGTGAATAGGAGACTGACCAAACAAGGCTATTCTGTGAGAAGGGCTATCTGCAAACCGATATTACCACCAGAATTCACCGTCGTCACCGTGTTACTTATGCAAGACAGCATGCCAACATGCAATTAGGACACTGGCGACATGTCATCTTTTCAGATGAGTTCTGTTTCTGGCTTATTAAAACTGATGGTAGGATTCGCGTTCGTCGTTTGCCTGGAGAACAGATGATGGAAGACTGTCTTTCCCACAGGGAACACACAGGAGGTTGTGCAGTACATGTTTGGGCAGCTATTCATTACAATAGAAAAACTGCTCTTCATATACTCCAGGGAAACATCAATGGCGCCTCCTAAAGGCATCACACGGAGACGATATTTCTGCCATATGCTAGGGCAAGGTTTGGCAATAACGCTTTGTTCCAAGATGATAATGCCACTGCCCACAATACATATATTGTACAGGATTATCTCGACCAGGATGACGTTACAAGATTGCCATGGCCAGCAAAGTCTCCAGATTGTAATCCCATTGGGAACTGTTGAGCAGAATTGAGCCGGAAAATTGTTAACCACGACCCTAAATCAGCTATTGTAGCTGATTTGCAACGTCTTCTAGTGACAAGCTGGGATGAAATAACGACGAATTACAACAATAACATCATCGACAGCATGCCACGTCGCCATGTGTAGGTTATTAGAGTACGAGGAGGACCAACCAAGTACTGTAATATTTTATATGACTTATATAAGGTTACAGACGCTATTTATAATAATTTGATGTTATAATTTGTTATTATATATATTTTCACAAGGTTTTGTTATGATAGGTGAAATTCTGAATTACACATCTTACTGTAGATGTCTTTCTAGAGGCTGTCCTAATAAATCGTTCATGATGTCCATAGAATCTGTATCATTATACAAGTTACACATGATGATATTAAACATAACATGCATTTCTCAGTTTGACAGCACTAAGCCTATTTGTATTCCATCTTAATAATAATGATCTTATTTGTTACAAAATCTGCAAACATTTTGCTCAAGACTGTAGTATAAAAGAATCGATGATTCTGTGTTTTCTCATTTTATGAATCGCAGAATGTTTAAAAACATATCTACTTATTGTCATTTTCTAACGTTCAAAAGAACACTGCCTTTGCATACGGTACCTCTGTGCCATGTCTGTAAAATAACACAGTTAATGTAGATATTTTGACAAATAAACATTATGGATTTAAATTTATAGAAATTATTCAATAGTGTGTTTTATCCCACTTTCTCAGTGTGTGAATTGTTCACTTTTAAAATAAAATAAAACCAGAATCCTGAATATTTTATTCATTTGTGTGTGTTCTGTGGGAAGAGGAGGGGAGAAGTAGATATTGAAGAACAAAGTTTTATTCATTTGTGTGTGTTCTGTGGGGCGAGGAGGGGAGAAGTAGATTTTGAAGAACAAAGTTTTATTCATTTGTGTGTGTTCTGTGGGAAGAGGAGGGGAGAAGTAGATTTTGAAGAACAAAGTTTTATTCATTTGTGTGGGTTCTGTGGGAAGAGGAGGGGAGAAGTAGATTTTGAAGGACAAATAGATTTTTCTAACATTTTTTCCTTAGAGGAAAAGTTTTTTCATTCTTTATTTTTTGTAATTCTGCGCCCTTGAAACTACAACTCACTTTAATAAGAAGTGCTACGTAGCTACGAACTGAGAGACTGCGAACATGTTCACTTACTAAGAATTTTGTATTATTATGTTGTGTGTTAGCCCTACCAGGAATTTCAGCGTGACTTCTGTATGAATGATATACTAAACTTATCTCAGTGTTTGTACAATGGAATTACTTTGGACTTGATGTTTATAAGAACATGCCAACTGCATGCTTCGCGTGCCGCTCTTGTAATTAATGCTGATATGAAATATTTACAGTTGCTAATCGCGTTTGCATGTTTAAACATGTGAGATTACTTGTTGAACTTGGTTACACCCCCTGTACACATGTAAATTAAGGGAGTCGCATTTCACGATTTTTTATGTATATCATGTTATATGCATGTTACCAGTATTATTACTGGGCGTAGTTGCAGATGTTATTGTGATAGAGGGCGTTATTCCACGTGTTTAATCCGGTCCGATAATGAAGACAGTTGAATCACTTTTCATTCTGCTCTTAAAGTGTTTTTATCTGCATTAAAACTGAACGTTATCTAATTCTTTTCTTTAAGTTGTATTTTTCTTGGGAAAGTATGCAAAGGTGATTTTTAATATCTAATAGCTACAATTTACTGAAGTGGTAGTAATATTTTCAGCCCTAATGGAATATTTTTACCACACTTTTCTCTCTTCATCAGATTCGGTGTATATACGAAGCGGGTTAGTGTATATCACACTTTTACCTGTTTCATGGTTTATATCACTTGGAATATATGGTCAAGTGTTACATGATTCAATGTTGCTGGTTGTTATGTTTATACATTTGACCCGAAACTGTACTTGCATAAAGCTATTTATATTGTTTAGTTTAATATCTAAACAAACATGAAAAGGCAGCTATAAGCAATATCCATAACAATGTCTACCACCACATAATAGCGTGTCAAGGATACCAGCTCAGCCGAATCATGTCTAAAATACCTATAATATAATCTATAGTTTTGAGTTTAACTTTGCAAGTACTTAACCCAAAAGCCAGTTCCCCCGCCTTATATATATATTGCTTTTTGTTTAAGCAGTTTTTGCCCTTCATTTGGAAAAGTAAAAATACGTTTTTCTTTCTGCATTGTTGCCAGTACAGATCCTAATATGTCTAAACAGACAAGTAGAGAGGTCCTAATATTCAAATTTTCCCTGTCTAATATATCAAATGTTTCATACTTCTGATGAGAGTAACCGATCCAGTTGGTTGCTTAGCGAATTTTAAGATATTATTTTGCATTCAGTGCTCTCCGAACAGGGTACATTATAGGCCTTTTTTTCAATCGCACAGTCACATTATGAATGGTGTTTTTGTATCCTTCCATAATTTGAATCACTGATCAGTGCCGATGATCAGTGTGAAAAAATGGTTCGTTTTCGTGAGTTTGACAGCAAGAGGATTACATTACAGAGAGATTACATAAACCGCCAAATTTAGCCAAATTTTATTATTTATTAGTTTAGTAATGGTAACTACTAACCATAAAAAAATGTTGTGATGAATATAACAACTATCGATCGAAATTTAATGATTGTGTCATTCACAGCTCAAGCAATGGTGTTGGAGGCCGATATCAGTATGTCAATGAACAGTCGTTTTCCTGTACCAATCATGGCTCACTCTCCTAGTATGATAAGTGACATCACCCTGGATGAGTGGCTACATGAGACACTTCCTCACAACAAAGGCATAAAGCTAGACTTCAAGACCACTGAAGTAGTCGAACCGGCGTGCAGAGTTCTGGCACGTGTAGCTGAGCAGGTAAGTGTAGTTTGAAGTTCCACAATGAAGATGATTTTTTAAGATACTCTATATGCTGCTACAATGACTTTGTTATTTCCAGTGTTTACATCCCATTCTTATTTTGTATTATTTATTACTAGCCGCTGCAACCCGCAAAGTATTCGCGGTAATATTCAAGCCCATCGCTCGAATTTTCCTTATTCTATCATGTTCATGCACACCATTTAAGCTACACTTTCTTGCAGGCATTATGTGTTATACTAATAAATCGTGGTGTATTCGAAAAAAAAAATTACGCGGTCAGACAAAAACTCACGTACACGTAACTTTATTTGATAACACTACACGTAAAATAAACAATATAGTAATGTTATTTATAAAAATGTACAGAATATGAAACAGTTATGAACGTTCACCGTTTGATATGGTTTTACGAGTTGAAACAAAGAAACTCGCAAAAACGAAGTATAAAACCCGTACTAAAGAAAAAAATAGCTAAAAGGTGTTTATAGCAGTCTATGAAACAAACCAAACCTAAATTATTGCAAAGTAAAGTAAATGTAAAGTTGTAATGAAGGCAAACTTAGCTGGATATGCAGAAACGTCTGAATGCGAGTTTACAAAATGATAAGCATATGGTTTTGAACGAACTACACATGCGTGTTTTAGATCTAAATAAGTCTTGAAAGCCAAAGAAATTGTATTTAGTGTAATGTTCATTTTGTTTTAGGAAAGTACATGCGAATTAAGTGTTGTTAGTTTGAAATACTTTGCATATAAAAAAACTAAAGTTGAAGATGAAGCCAGTCATCAGGTGATGACGACACCATTGTGCCATCGTGTATCATACTCGTTGCATTAAAAAGTTTGATTAAGCAAAAAAACAGGTAATCTGATTCTGAATGGAAAAGTCAATATGCAATCCGGACTCCTTGGACAAAGGCCTTTCTAACGATATAAGATTTATAGAGTTTTATCAAGAAATTTGCGAGAAATGTTCCGGACAGATAAACGCAAGCTAAATATTTACATCGATTTTTCCGCTTTCCATTTACTTAATGTCTTTGGTCACCCTCTTATTTTCCTCACATACATTATTATTATTTTTAGGTAAATATATACCAAACAGAATTTGATCCACAATCAAACCAAGGGTTAACTCAACAGCATTTAATTATCGAAACTGTGATTCCACCAATAAAACTTTAAAGTCGTTCAGTAAGCCCACAAATATTTATTTTTCAGTTTTCGACTCCTTCAATAAGCTCACAAGTGCTTATTTCTCAGTTTCTATGACCTTTCAATAAGCTCCAAGTGCTTATTTGTCAGTTTCCAACTCCTTCAATATACTCACAAGTGCTTATTTGTCAGTTTCCAACTCATTCAATATGCTCACAAGTGCTTATTTCTCAGTTTCCAACTCCTTCAATAAGCCCACAAGTGTTTATTTTTCAGTTTCAGACTCCTTCAATTGCCCACAGGTGTTTATTTCTCAGTTTCCGACTCCTTCTTTACTCTGATTAGTTTTAGTTTTATTTATTTTTTTACAAGATTAAGTGATATAATAGAAAGAGCTATATAACAAACACTAGATAGATATAGCTAGTATTTTCAGTATTACATGCTTCTCATGCAAGAGAATCATTTTATAAAATAAAATAGAATGGAATATTCAACCCGAACAGCACCACATTCACACAAGGAATATACGGTTAGGTCATAAACATAAAATATGGTTGAGGTATAGGGCGTCCTTATTTCTGATATACTGATCAAAAAGAGGGTAACCAGCCAACAATATCTTGCCTGGCTCTTTTAAATGAATAACGAGAATGCCCATTACTTTTATAACACGCTCCACAGCTGAAAGTCCGGAGTGTGCTCAGCAGCATCACGTTTCGAACTTCCAACCCATCGATCTGCAGTTGGGCTTGCTACCCACTAGGTCATAGCCGGCGGCCTATATTGCATAGGACGGCAGGACATGTATAAGTAGTATTACTGTAACTAATCAAATTGTACGATGTTTGTGTGTGTGTATTATTGTGACTAATCAAATTATACAATGTTTGTGTGTGTGTATATTACTGTGACTAATCAAATTATACCATGTTTGTTTATGTGTGTGTGTTGTTTTTTTAAGTGCAAGATATCATTCGTGTAAGACGGATTTAACAACTTTGCGTGACTGGGATTGTTTTGGTATACAACGATGAGTAATTCTCCAACACGTTATGGTTACTGATGTGAACTCCAGCTTTTGTAAGTCTAAAAGGTAAAGAGTAACGCAAGAGATGACGTGGGTGGTGTTGACTAACTAGCTGCCTTCCCTATTGTTGATCACTTGAAAATTGAGAATGGCTAGCACAGATGGCCTTCGAGTAGCTTGGCGTGAAATTGGACAAAAAATTAACCAAATAAAAAATAAATTATTTTAAGAAAAATCTGAATAAGAACGAGTTACTGATTTCACTGTCTCGCTATATCACACATAATGAAAATATACCTAAGTACCTTTCCCTAGTTAATATATATTCTAAGAGTAGCAACAAGCCACCTAATGCTAGACTTTAAATATAAGTATTATTTAACTAGTTTATAAGAAAAGTATTAATTAGGGTACTTATATCTAATACTCTTGGCATGAATTAGTGAAATTAATATGTCGCGATATACGGAACTGTTTATCATGTGTAGGACTATACACACCAAGCGAAGAAATGTATATTTCGATACAAAATGCTACACGTGGTGTAAGAATGGACATGGCTTTGAAAGGGGTTGTTGTAACTAAACACTATAAACGGTGCAGAACCTTCACATGTAATTCGTTTAGCAGTTAGCAGATACGATGGTTTAATTTGTACGATGATGACAACAACTGTGTAGGAGGGAGAAAGAGGTCTTCGATAGTACTTGATCCTCCCATATCCTGATAAAAGGATCTAAATCCAGATCCAGAGAGATCCATATTATTTTCTAAGTTATATATTTATTCCACGAAAACAGTTAATAACAGACCCATATAAGAGACACCGAGAAACATTTAGAACACCATTTCACTGACATGAAAATTTAAACTCTAAAAATCACATTTTAGTCAAGTCTTAATAATCATGTTTGAATATGAAAACCATTCAAATTGAAGTCAACATTAAAACTAAACACGAAGCAAACAATAAATTTGGCCAACCGACCGGTTTCACAAAAATCACCACATTGTCACAGACAAGAAGCAAGTAAGGAAATGATAGATAGAAGCATACTTGTGAACATATACCCAGAAGTGTTTCTGGTTAGGTTATGGACACTGCTAAAATTGATGTCAGATTGTTGACTGTTACTCTTATACTGCACCCACGGCTTTAAAATGCGGAGTGCGATTTTGCAGCAAAGGGAACGCGAATCATAATCCTGTGGATTCACAATGCGAGCCTGCACAAATTTTGAGGCTACGCTGATGCTGTAAAAGACATTCTGTACTATGAGTAAATAAACTGAAACCAAAACCGACAAAATATATATTTCACTTACCTCTAAGAGACGTGTAATACAAGGAATACTTGAGCTATGTATGAAACATGACAAATCTGAAACACATCGCAATTGCTTTGTCTACAAAGACTGGGTTGTATAAGAACTAAAAATAAATAGCTAAACTTCTATAAAGAGAGGATTGTTTGTATGTCGCATGTAGACCGCGGAACTCTCTTCAGAGTAACTCAAACTGTTACCAATGGTAATCTAGTCTGAGAAACTGTTATAGGAAATACAAATATGGCCTTAATTCAATTCAAAAATAAACACGACGCTAAGCCTTCATTTCAGCCAGAAGTTTCACGTTAATATTTTGAACAAAAATTAAACATAAAAAATAAATACATGTAGAGAATACCAACAGTTCTTCATCTGAACACATGTTTCATTTTAATATTTTACTATATCTAAAATGTTTGTTTTGTTTGAACAATAAAGCTGCACTAGGACTTGTAGTGCTACATCTTAAACGTGTTACAGGTAAAAGGAATATGAACATTTTTATTTTATAAAAATCCAATACTTCTGTTTAATGGCGGTGCCAAAAGCTAAGTTTGAGTGCACAAAACTTTTATAATTTGGCGAAAAATAATACAGCAGTCTAACCATACTATATATATGTGTCTATAATGTGTTCGCTTTAAGCAATATTTCTCCAAGGAGGTTCTTCTTAAAATGGTTTGAAGAAACGTTTCAACTTTGCTATTCATATTTCAATACTCGTATCTGACCATTTATTGCGGCAATGGGATGTGAATCATGAATCATTGGATTCCATTTTCGGGCACATTAACCACTTGAGGTTGAAATTATACTCTTCAAACTAGACTTCCCAGTGTATGGTGATTAACATTAAACACTTATATTAGTTTCCTATACTCAACAAGTTCTAAAAATTTGGACTTTTCGGGCCATCATCGGTCTAGCCGAAACCAATTAGGAAATCTTGATGGTTAATGGATAGTTTTCAGTCATCTCCGAATAGAAAGAAAATGTTTTTACTAATGTTTCACAGTTGACTACGACTTTTAGACAAATTTACAAAACTGTGTACGCAAGTGTTGTGGTCATAACGAAAACGAAAACGCGCTCTACATTTTTGGGCCTTACATGAGCGTGCTATAAATGAGATGGTCATTATCCAGTATTCGATCAGACAAGAGTTGCCCAAGATTTGTCGGTGAGTGCTGTTGTAATTAGTTGCGTTCCTTCATATATCAGTTCCAAACCTGGGACGGCTATGCACGAAAAACAAAGTTTCTTACGAAACGAGAAACTTGAGGGGGGTTAGCAGGAAGGCTATTAATTAATTTCAGCTCAAAAAGGAGAAATATTCCTCTCTTTTAAACAATTTTTTTTTAAATAACATCTAATAGAAGGTTTGAATAAAAGAACTTGTGATAGAAGGTTTGGATAAAACACATACAAATGCAACAAAAACTAGATCTCTCTTTGAACCAGTAATAGCAGTTTATTGTTTTTTTTAAGAATAAATACTTTTTTCTTGGTTCTAGATTCGAGGTCCATTGATACTAAATGCTAACATTCTTCCTGGCCCTAACAACCCCATGACTCCACCGGTGGATGCCTGGACGTTTCTTACCCTGAGTAGAACCCGCTTTCCTCACTCGGTGATCTCCATCGGTTGGACAATGTGTAATGAAGTCATTGAGGTTATGTCAGGAGCATGTATCAAACTAGGGTAAGCCAAACCTCTCCGTTACGTTTCGAGATAAGTTTTCTATTGTCTATAATTATAAGATCTCTAGAAAAAACCGTTCTTTGTCAATTCAGTTACTGCGAAGAGGTTAATAATTCATAAAGCTACTTCTAGTGGAATATAAAATAATAAATTGGTAGATAGCACACCAAGATGTATATGAATATAACCGTACTACAGAATCCACCATGTTACTATCAGTAACACGTGCCTATCTATACTGGACATGATTAATTAATGAACGAATTTATTATTATTGAAATGAAATTGTAACACATCAAGCCATGAGCGTGGAACTTTTCCACAGAATATCTTTGATACGTGCACTCTTTAGTTTGAGAGTGTTTGCAGTAAACGCGTGGCTGAAGGATGTCACAAATGATATTTATCAGAAAGACTGTATATCCACTTGAATAACAGCTATGTTCAACTCTAGTGGCCGACACAACTCTACATCGTCGCTGAACTGGTTGGACTTCCACTGAATGTTCTCCGCCCCCACTCCTAGTTAATCCAGTGTGTATTGTGCAGGGTGAGGTGACGTGCAACCTGTCCCCGTATGTCCCAAGTGTATGAAGCTGACACCTGAGAAAATATCAGATCATTCATTCTCACAATTCTCAGCTTACCGTATAATGTAAGCTTTGGTGATACCCGCTCAGTGTAGATGAACAATATTGTGCATCAAAATGATATAAAGTCCAGCGAAAAGCTTGACAGTGGGTATACCAGGAGCTCTTCCCCAGCGGTGCACATTACTCAGAACACTCTTGATGAATAGTTATTCAGATCAGTACGTCCACCAGACCAACGGGGAAACACCTTCCATCGCATCTTTTCAAAACTACCAGGCAGTTGGCGTAGCTTGGTGTGTTATGATTTTTTATTAAGAATACTATAAAAGTTGTTATGCGATCGCTGACAAAAAAAAAAGACATTGTGTTTTTTATCCAAGCTAGATTTAACTTACACAAATGCAGCATCTCGTGTCATTGTTAACTCCTTAGTTCATAAAGACAACAGTTTCGTGTATTTCAAGCTTGATTTTCTGGAACACGTTTTACAGTCTAAAAGTCAATGATATTTATGTATATTGTATACTGTCAGGTGTTCTTGTTGATTCTAATAAGTTCTTTTAAAACTAAGTTCATTACATTTACTAACTATAAAATTATTGACAACATTTGAGAACATTTATTCTTTAGTGCAATGGTGTTCTTAATTTCATGGAGTGTTTCTAAGCAGAAAGTTTTAACCTTTTGCTTCTAATTTATGATAATGTATTTGTTTAAACAGTTACAGTTTAACTAATATTTAACGATCGAAAATCACGTTCTGTTATTTTCTTTACATTTTCATTTGTTGTATTTACCATTCGTGTAAGTAATTCCATCTTAGAATACTAGAATTTCTTGCCATTAATCTAAGAAAACCACCTCTTAACTAGAAGATGAGCGATACCACTACATCTTCATTTATGAAAATGTAAAGAAAATAAGAGAACAGGAACTTTAGATCGTTAAAAACTTTGAGTATCGTAACATATTGTTAGAAACGTATTTATACAGGTACATCAAATAATCTTGTAGTTCTAAGTGTTTTGTATTATAAATAGTTGTATTTTGTCTTTTTTAGTTTCACCAGAGAAACTGTTGACAAGATGATCAGTGTAGTGAAAGAATTCAGCTTGATGCAGCCAGTAATGTTCCCCATTTGGCTTCTCCACCTCAAGTATTCGGTGCCAGAGATTCAGAGACTGTTGTTTCAGGTTCCTAATAGTTCCTTGATGGCTTGGTGTAACAAAGGAGACCCTGTAACTCTAGAAGACCTCCTGATGATACGGAAAGCCTTTCATATAAGTCAGGTCTTTTACGACCTACCCGACGATCTTCTGCAGCACTTTTATTCCGTCACTTAAAAGTGATGCTTACTTTTTGTTTTTATGACTAATTAATTTGTTTTTCCTTGACAGACATTGGCAGAATCCATCATTCTTCAATGAAAAACATTGACAAAACTGATAATTCTTCAAGAACAAAATATCTCACGTGCTTTTGTTTTATTTTGTATGTGGGGGGGGGGATTAGTTGCACTTTATAAAGACGATGTTCCATGTCCCATGTTGCCCTTGCAGCTACTTTCTCCATAATCAGTTGTCTGATGGTCATCATGATTAGTCACTATTGCCCGACACCGCATTTCCCATTGTAATAAATTTCTGCTTAGGACGGCGAGATCAATCTGAGACCATACATATTGGTAAGTTTTCCACAGGTCATCCACTACTTTCGGGGAAGTCGGCTTCTACGATCACATAAAGCAAACCAAAATACACATGTCCATTGGGACGTAGTCAGGTGACTTACCAGGTACATTGGAAAAGAGGGTTAGCTTGAACACTAGTTCATTCTTTAAATAACAGATATATTGGGGAAGAGGACATAATGAACACTAGTTTTTCTTTGACTTAAAAGGTGTGTAGGAGAAGGGCATAACATGAACAGTAGTTTTCTTTGACTTAAACGGTGTGTAGAAAAAAGGAGATAGCAGGAACACTAGTTTCATTCTTTAACTTAACAGAGGTGTAGCAGAAGGAGATGATATGAACACTAGTTTCATTCTTTGCCTTAACGGGTGTGTAGGAGAAGGAGATAGCATGGACAGTAGTTTCCTTCTTTGTGCCATGTTGAAGAGTCTGTATCAAGTTGCCAGTTTCTTGCCAAAGTTTCTTGGCGTCGTTCAATCTTGCAGCAAACTTCCGTCTCTCACTTCCATGTTTGTTTTATTTTTCAGTTTGTCATTCTTAATAACGTTTTTTGAAAGCAGCTTCTACACTTGTAGTTCATTCTTCATTTTCACAAGGCCAATATCTTTGGGAATTACCTATTGCACAATAGATTGAAATATGTGTAACTTGTGAGCTTTCACTTTCTGGACGGATGGTTCATAGGTGACCATTTTAAGAATTCTGACAATGGTAACATTTATTTGAATGCAGTTTAAGTGGTTTTACGTCCTCTTGTAGATGTGCTGATTTTTTCGTGACCACGTTATCCAATATATTACAGGTAGTCGTTTTTGGAATTAGGGTGCTTTGTATGTTTTTGCTATTTCGCTATATTATTATCTTTCTTCAAAAAGGGCTGTGAAATATTCTTCCAGCCATAAGAGTACCCGAGATGGTACTGCACTTTTGAATGACCGAGAATTCACTGTGAGCTATATATATATATATATACCCAATCCCCTGGTATCTTGGCAACCTTACATAGCCGCTACTATAGGTTGTCTATAATAACATTTTACTATATATATATACCCAATCCCCTGATATTTTGGCAACCTTACATAGCCGCTACTATAGGTTGTCTATAATAACATTTTAGTTTACTGTAGAATAAGCAATTTAACTCAGAACACTCGCTATTTCCACATTATCGCAAGTTGAGAATAAACATCTATTTTAGTTCAGACGCGAGAGTTTGCTAGTCGTTTACACTTCCTATTTCAGGTGCTAATATAATTTTACTTTTCCACAAGAGCTTGCTTGAAGTAATTTTTCAAAGCAACTTTTTTTTTGCCAGGTCCAAAACAAGAATGTTGGATATACAATTTGTGCCCGAAAATTTGAACATAGATCTATGTATGCATATATATATATATATATATGATTTATATAGAAATATAACAATTCTTTTGTGTGTATTGTTATTATAACAATATAATAAGTTTCTTTATGTTATTTTCTTGTGCTAGGATTTAAACAAGCTTTTATTTTCAGATTGAAAGAATGATGTTTTACGTATGATCTTTATTCTAAGATTAGGACAGTAATGTTGATTTGTAGGTATTTGTGGTAGATTAAAATAGAGATGACTAAGAGCTGAGCACTGTGATTGTGTTGCTATTCACCTCTAGAAGGTTCAACATGAACGTTTTCTATTTATGTGTATATTTAAGGATTATAATAATATTTCCAGTATGACTAGAACAAGGTAGTTCTTACATATTTTTTCTTATTTCTCTAGAAAAAAGTTGTTTCCCTACAATTAGAACAATAATGCCGTCGTATGATTTTTGTCTTATGACTAGGGTAACAATATGGCTCGTTTTTTACGAGTTTTTGTTTCTTTCTTTCTATGGCTAGAACAAAGATGATTTTCTATGTTTTTATTTTCTATGAAAAGAAAAAAAGTTTTTCTAACTGATTCGAAAAAGATATTTTTGTATCTTTATTTTTTATGTTTACTAGAACTAGGATGTTTTTGTATGGTTCTTTTTCAAGGCCTAGAATAAAGAATTTTTTCGTAGTTCATTTTCTTTGACTACAAAGATGATGATCTTGCATGGATTTTTTCAATGACTAGAAAGGACATTTTTCAGGTTTATATGGATTTTTTGTATAGTTGTTTTTTATGTGATTTGAACAAGGATATTTTTTGTTTGTTCATTATTTTACAACAAGACATGTTGTTTATGTTGTATGTATTTACTTTATTTTTTACTGCAGGATCTATGTTCTCTTTCCTCTCATAGTAAAAAAACGTTTTATGCATGTTGTTCCTTTCTTTAGGAGTATGATATAATCAGCTGTATTTTACATGGAGTGGATGTTGTTGATTTGGAGTTAAAACTAACCCTTATCAACAGAACTAAAACAGAAAACTGTATATTGAATTTTCTGCTGAAACTAGGACTATAAACTGTTCATTACTCAAGGAACTAAAAACAAACGATGTAAGGAAAATGATTGTTAAATCAAGATTAATAAATACATTAATTGATTTTTCAGGCAGTTTATACATGACGAAACAAATGCGGAAATGAGTGCCAAGGGTTGGTTTTGTTATGAATTTCGCGCAAAGCTACCCGAGGGCTATCTGCGCTAGCCGTCCTTAATTTAGCAGTGTAAGACTAGATGGAAGGCAGCTAGTCATCATTACCCACCGCCAACTCTTGAGCTACTCTTTTACCAACGAATAGTGGGATTGACCGTCACATTATAACGTCCCCACGGCTGAAAGGGCGAGCATGTTTGGTGTAACGGGGATTCGAATCCGCGACCCGCAGATTGCGAGTCGAGCGCCCTAACCACCCTGCCAAGCCGGACCAAATTGCCAAGGAAATTCAATGATAAAAACAAGGCTAACGTGACGATGATTTCCGTCTTAAATACCGAGCATCGTCACATTAGTCTTCTTGTATATTGAAAATCTTGTCGCTCACGTTCTTCTATCTGTGTCACGCAGTTGATAACATTTTCACTTTTGTTTCATCAGGATTCGTATTTTCTTAGACTATGATTAGAACTACGCAGAATTGATAAAAAAATATCAAGATTGATTTAGAAGAATGAGAATAGCATGTACTGTATAGGTGTAAATAAATTACATACAATTAAGGCATTTTCTTTAGTCTAAGAACGGGTAGCGAATCTACGGCACACGAGGCCATTTCCCATGGTCCGCAGTACCACACGATGCCTATTTTAATGGCAAGCAGTACCACGCGAGGCCTTTTCCTATAGCACACAGGTATCCCTAGTCGACTTGGAAACTTAAATACGTTCAACTTGCACAACAAGCCCCAAATAATCAATTCCATTGTTGAAATAAAGTAGGTGGGATGACGTGCGTTACTAAATCTCATTCATAGCAATGGACTAGATCGTATCTTGCTATAATTTTTGAGAAAAAAAAAACAAACCTCAAAACAAATGATTTTCTGTAGCAATTAAATGAGGGGAAAAAAAGAATTTTAGAAATAATGAAAACAGTTCATCAAACATTCGTGTTATAGTAATCGGCTACAACTCAAGCAACAGTAGAAATTACTCCAAGATGTATGGTGAAGCCTATCATTCAAGGTACCACAAAACTCTTGGTAAACAATCTTTAGTAACTAATGATAAAAAGATCGCAACCTCTGATCTAAAATAAGGCCTAGAAAGCTCTAATTTGCTTGAGCGAAGTATGGCATTTCAGTTCCATTATTATTATTATCACTATGTGGTTTACGTTCGTATCAGTTTGAGCAATCAAGTATTATCCTTATGATTACTGAGCTTTTGTGTGGTTAATATTGTTTCGAAGATATATATATATATTGCACAGAAGAATGTTGTATGATTCCAGATTGTGATATAGAGATTGCTACCGTGGTAATTTTAACTTGAGTCTTTGGCTTTTAAATGATGAACTTTCCGGTTTTTACAAAATAACACTGTGGAAGTTGATGTTTCTACTCCTGGTTAGTAACGACTTAATTTCCAAAAATTTGAAGAGGGTTGTTTCATTCAGCTGCGTTTGTTTGCTTGTTTTACAGTAAAGTCACATTGGGCTATCTGCTTTGTCCATCGCGGGGAATTGAACCCCGGATTTTACCGTTGTAAGTCCGTAAACTTACCACTGTCTCACTGGGAGACTATAGCTGAATTACACTCCACATTTTACATGCGCAGTGTTAACAAAGGACAACATTTCACAAATTAGAATTGGTCTGTAAACAGGAATATTCTGAAAAAAATCTTTTGATTAGTCATTCAGTAACATTACATAGGTTTAAGGAGTTGTCCAAATAATAGTTATTCTGTGACCAGAAGTTTAAATTATTATACAAGACTTATTCTTTAGGCCTAAAATATGTGTTGAGAGTAACTTTTAACTTTCCTTTTGTTTTTTTCTCTCTTGTTTATCGTATTGTGTTATTTTTAGCTCATTACTGTTTTCACGCCAGGCAAGCATAAAAGTAGAATTATAGACATTATTTGCCCAAAAGTTACCGCATAAAGGACTTTTTTTTCCAGAACTAGAACTCATCAGATAGGTCACAAGGTTTATTCCTAACTGATGAAACAAGAAATCCGCTGACAGAACCGTAGAAACAAAACTTAATTGCTGTATTTATATTACTTTGTGTTTATAAAATTGCGTGCCTGCTGTGACTCGTAAAGAACAAGGAGTGTAGGAATGCTTCATAGATTTACTGATAAAAAAAATTTAAATTAGAACTTTACCAAAGGTTAGATCCAGAATCGGGGGTATATATACTTTGATGTTCAATGTAATTAGGTTTCTGTTGTTGTAGTAATTACAAGTAATTCGTTACAGGAGGCATAAAGATGGAGATTAGTTTACAATAAAACATTTTATCAGGAACAATGACAGCTTGACTAGTTTCAAGCAGTGCCTCGAAATCAGACAGATTATTCAGAATGAACAGATTGAGGCTTTAACTATGCTTACTGATTTATAAACAAGGATATCGTTGTGACCGAAATAAGATCTTCTGGGGAAAGGGATCAGTGACGAAGCAAAAAGTGCAAATTTCACTCGGAGCTTAATCTGATCTTTCCCCCAATTTGATATTTACTTCACAATGTTTTGGGCAAGCAATCTTCACGGACAGGTTAGCCATCATAACTTGTATGGTGAAGGGCATTTCACCAAAACATTGTAGCTAAAGTTAACTGGTAAAATCTTAATAGCAACATTGACTTAAACAGTGAATCCTGCATTATGTACTGTTCTTAATTGGAATTATATCCATAATATTCGGTTGGGCTCGCTCTGATGGCCGTTATTATGCATCATTACCCAACTACACAATTCCCATTGCAACAAAATTCTGTGGACGAGATAAACCTTAGACTACTGTTCTTGAACCAACTTCCACAGATCCTTCACTGTTCGTAGACATCAGCTTCCAAGAGTAGACCAAAGGCACATTAGTCCATTAGAGCTATATTGGCAGACTTGACATATGGCTGTACTGTGCAACTATTTCCGCTTCATGAACACTGAAAACTCCTTTCTTCGAAATATTATGTTTAACAATTTCCTTATACATGACTATCCTCACTCGGAAAAGACTGTATCTTATCCTTCTGCAGCCGTAAGACTATCGGTTGCAATATTACACTAAGAAATGGTGAGAAATTCACCTGAACCCTATATATAATTGCTTAACATGTCGCCGCTGTATTAGCACGTACATATCGTTCTTACAAAGTGTTACTAACCTTCTGTTTTTCTCAAGTACAACAAAATCCTCAAGATGTAACTGCGTATATTTAGCGTCTCCGTTGAATTTGAATGTAGCGTGTTAACAATCTACCATTTTTCATGTGGCTGGCATTATCTTATTAAGATCTTCAGACATGTATGAACATGATTTATACTGGAAACATTATCTGAATAACTCTCATGCACGAGCGTCACGATCTGCGTGGACTAGCGTCCTCATTGATAACGTAGAGAAAATACAAGCA